TTTACATCGTTCAAATCTTTAGATCTGTTCACAACCTTTTACTGCTCCTTTCACATTTTGTTCTGGTTCAGCTTCTTTCAGCTTCCTTGTGCAAATTTAAACTTTTTTCAGCTGTTTTGTGCTCCTTTCAGATTCTTTCTGCAATTTCAGCTTATCCTCCTTTCAGCTTATTTCTGTAAGTTTCAGCTTTTTCTATTTTAGTTACAATTTAGCAGTTTTATGCTAATTTTAGCTTTTTCAGCTAACTCTACATTTTTGGGACTAATTTCAACTTTTTTCTGCCAAATTCATCAAAAAATGTGCTCTCCCGATTTGCTTCTGGTAATTTAAGCATCTTTCTGCTATTTTAGTTTTCATCACTTTTATTTATTTTTTTTGTTGTTGCTGTTGCTGCTAATTTTGGCTTTTTCCAGATAGTTTCCACATTTTTGTGCTCATTTCTGCTTCTTTCAGCCTAATTTGGCAAACTTCTTTCTGCTTTCTTCTGCTAATTTAAACTTGTTCGACTTGTTCAGCTACCTTTTTTTTTTTTTTTAACTAATTTTGGATGTTTTTCAGATAAATGCCAAGTTTGTGGTAATTGCTACTTTCAGCCTAATTAACTTATTTCTGATCATTTCAGCTTGTTATACTCCTTTCAGCCTAATTATGCTTGTTTCAGCTTTTTCTTATTTTTCAGCTTGGCAGGTTTTTTTATGCCAATTTTAGCTTTTTCAGCTAATTCCACTTCCTTCTGGTAGTTTAAGCTTCTTTCTGCCTTTCAGCTAAGTTTTAGCATTTTTGATAATTGGCTTTTTAGCTAATTTCCTAATTTTTGTGCTAATTTCTGCTTATTTAAACCCATTTAAGCAAATGTGTTCTTTCTGCTTTTATTATGCTAAATTAGACTTGTTATTCCATTTCAGCATATCCATCCATCCATTATCTTTACCCGTTTATTCCATTTTGGGTCACGGGGGTCGCTGGTGCCCATGTCCAGCAGTCACTGTGCGAGGGGCGGGGTACATCCTGGACAGGTCGCAAGTCCATCACAGGGCCCCATAGAGACAAACGAGACAAACAACCATTCACTCTCTCACTCACACCTAGAGACAATTTTAGAGTTACCAATCAGCCTAACATGCATGTGTTTGGTCTGTGGGAGGAAACCGGAGTACCCGGAGAAAACCCACGCATGCACGGAGAGAACATGCAAACTCCACCCAGAAAGGCCCCTGGACCGGGGTTTGAACCAGGGACCTGCTCGCTGAGAGGCAGCAGCTCTACCAGTTGCGCCACCGTGCTGCCCCATTTCAGCATATTTTTAGCTAATTTCAGCTGTTTCTCAGCAAGTTCATCTTCAATAAGCATTCACACTGCATTTTTGCAAATACAATTTTTCTTTTGTTTTAAATAGCTGCTCAGCCATGGAGCTTTAAAAGTGACTGTGCTGCTTTTTTTTTTCCTGCAGAGCTAGTTTGGTTCACTCTTCATCACTTTTGTCACACGCAGGCGTTCAGCAACAGACGCAATACTATTTGAGTTGGTGACAGTAAAGAGTTTGAGGCAGATACTGTATAGAAGCAGACACATGTGGCTCGAGTTCCTCCTGCACAGATCATCTGGGGTGAGACTCACATGTTCGAGGAGGTGCGGTGGTGGGGGGGTCAAAGGTGAGACTAATCCTGGCAGGTTCACGGACAGTAAAATTCCTCTCATTGCTGCCTCCTACAAATCATTTCTTCCATAAATAACACGGAACGTCCATATCCTCGGTGTCAGATCAAAGTTTCTCCACCGAACCTGTTTTTCGTCTCTCATCACGTCTTTGTCTCGCTTGTCGTCTTCTCCATCTTGGGTTTTGATGCTGATGTGTGCAACAAGGATGCGGTTAATTCTTTGCTGCTGTGACAGCAGAAAAGTGATTTTTACCGAAGCCAGATCTCCAATCCATGTGGAGCTGATTTTAAAGGTGTCAGACGAGACAGAGATATGTCATCCTGCTCTGCTGAATTACAGCCAGAGCTCATCTTTGATCTGCGAGGCAGACCATCCCTCTTCCTCCTCTGTCTCACCTCATTCGGCTGTGCACATCTTTTTTTATCGTCATTCATTCGTCTCAAGGGGGGCTGAGAGAGTCACAGCAACCAAGACTTCCCTTTGACTCTACAGAACATTCAGTGAGACAAACATGAATCATTTACCGACAGCCTCGGGGGATTAAAAAGCTCCTCTACAGTCAATATTTATCACAACTAAACAACCCAAAGTCCCTTTTAAGAAGATTATGAGCAAAGGTTTTATTGCGGAGACATCACATATTAAAGTGCCACAGATTTACTGTAGGTCAGTCAGAATTAAATGACACAAGTTTATGCCATAAATCAGAGACTGTCAACTGATGGACCTGGACCACATCCAGCTGAAAGTCTTATTTATCATCGTGTGGCTTTTAGGGACTTGTTTTCTGTCGGAGGAGAGCTCCTGTGTATGCGTCTGCTCTTGAGACAGGTTGGAGATGGCGGGAAAAAATTATTTTAAAATCTGATTTGTTGCTCTAATTTTTGAAACGTGTTCATAATTTAATCCATGAAGCTGCAAATCTATTCCAGTTTCCTCCCACAGACCAAAAACATGCATGTTAGGCTGACTGGTGTGAGTGGGAGTGTGAATGGTTGGCTCATTTGTTTGTGTCCCAAATGGACTGGAGACCTGTCCAAGACTGCTGGATGTGCAGTGACCCAGAAAAGAAGAAGCAGGTAAAGATAATGGAGGAATAGATGGACTGCGGATCTCAAGCGAGGAAATCAAAACCCCTCGAACATTCTGGAGCATCATTTCTGCCTGGTGACATCATCACCGCATGATGATCAGGTCTAACCCAGAAGATGAAACGAATTAGAGGAAACCGTTAAACTTTGTGGACTATCTGCTCAGACACAAGAAGCACAAATAACTCACAGATTCTGTCTCCTGCGTGGAGCTACGTATGTTACCAGCTCAGCAGCTTTGTCGCCTTATTCCAAGAGCCTCGGTCCTCGTGCAGAGTTCCTCCTAGATGCAGCCAAAGCCGAAGATGATCAAACTGTAAATGAGCTGCTGAACGCTGCACGTTAAATTTACATGCTCTGAGTCAACCTGCAGTCAACATTATTAGCATTAGTTCGATCAAAGTTTGTAGTGAATATGTGGGAGGGGTAAAGGTGCTAGCTGTTGAAATATTTGCTTGGCTTGTGTTTAAGTGAAACAAAGTATTTTTATCAGTCTAAATTTGTGTTTTTTTATAGTTTCTTGTCCTTGCAGAGCTTAGCTTGGCTTGTGGATGCTGGCAAAGAGCCCCCCCCCCCCCCCCCCCCCCCCCCCCCCCCCCCCCCCCCCC